CAAATTTAAATTCATATTTTTTTCCTTAAGTACCTAATTACTAATCCATACATAATTAACTATTTTTTAACAACTATTTCACAGAAGAATACATGTACACACAAGAGAAACAAAATACGAAGTGCGACGCCTTAGTGCCACTAGTAAAAACAAAAAGCAATCAGGAGGAAAAAAGAACAATATACAATAAAGAATCTGAGCAACAATTTGCATAACACATATACAAAATTACACATTACTAACATTTAGGATCGCCCTTGGGCGTTTACTGAAATTGGGGTCCCTAGTATCATAACAATAGTTAACAACCACAGGATTGTCCAGAAGTTCCTGTTTATCATAAAATGCCCTAGATAGGCGGCAATAAAAATCACAAAGATCCTCTATTCTTAACTCTTTACGAATTTGGCTATTCCGAATGTACCAGGGGGCATTACATATCATACGCAATACCCCGTTTTAGGCAGCTTCTAACTGCCTTCTCAAACTTTTGCACGAGCATGCATAACTAAGAATTGGACGCAACATGGTTTTGTAAATGAGCAACTTATTATCAATAGATAGAACACTGTTTCGAGCAATTAAGGGGAAGAGTGAAGCTTTACTAGCTCGAAACTTCCTGAGAATATGTGTAACGTGTGGGTTCCATGTAAGAGATTTACTGAGGATCACCCCAAGATAAGGGACCTGCTTGACCCAGGGAATGTCCACACCATACATTTGCAGGTGAGTCGGGAAATTCTTCTTAGTAGTAAACAGTATGGCATGTGTCTTGTCGACATTCACTTTGACTTTCCATTTGGTCAGCCAAGTCTCTAGCGAGTGGATGTGGTGTTGTAGCTGTTGTATTGCTGAACTAACAAATGCACTTTGCGTAAGGATCGCTGTGTCGTCTGCATACATGGCTAGTGTTGTGTTGTGTGTAGTGGGGATGTCGTTCACGTAAATATTGAATAGGGTAGGGCCCAGAAGGGATCCCTGTGGAACACCAGCCCGTAAAGGCCGGTTTGTGGATATCCGAGATATTGAACTCTTGAAAAGCTAATTTTGCAAAAAGAAATTTATTTATGGATTAGTTGTCGCGGGTTGAGCGAGATATTAATTTGTGATTATTGCGGGTCGTTGCGAGATATTAATTAAAACTTCTGAAAACGTAATTTGGCAGCAAAAAAATTATTTACGAAATGGTTGGTTGCTTGAAAACCCCACTCATCTGGCGGGTTTGTCCACTAGTACCCAGTTAAGAAATGAAACTAATATTTTTGGAATAATAAAAATATCTGTCTCATTACAGACATAACGGGAGGGGGAAACCAAAGATTGGAGGTCTTGTAAGTTGGTAACAATTTATATTTACGGAAGGCAACTCTTTATTTGACAACACTTTATACTAGGTGTCAAGGTTCACGGGTTGGCAACTATTATGTACTAGTTGATAAGAGATAACTCGGCATGTTTCTAGTTATGGATATTATGGCACATAGCTTGGCAAAACGTGTTTTGACAGGATCTGATTTTTGTCGACTCGATTTTGTTTGCAGAGTTGGAAGAGCAATAGCTGCTTTCGGGAAGCTTAAAGAAAAAGATATGATTTTAAGCATGGCAAACTGCTGCTTAATACTTGCATAGTACTGATTTTCATTACATAAACTTATGCGTACATGTAACACGGTATCTTTATATATATAAGTGGATTAAGTGTTTGTCGCCGATAGTTTATTGTTGCCACTCGGAAAAATGAGAGCGGAAATTAACGTTTCCGCATTTTTTAATTAATATCTCGGCCGATTAAAATCGTACGAAGATGAGAACGGTATCGATGGATTTGAAGGATTTTTTGGAATCCGAGGATACACGTCTTGAATTTCAACTCGGTGCCGTTCAGTAGATATTTGAGAAAACAAAATTAACACGTAGCCAAATCCTTCTAATAGGGAAAACCCAAGAAAGAAAGTGAAAAATGATAAGGAAAACGTAGGGGGGGGGAAAAATTAGTTTTTAATTAATATCTCGGCTAATTAAGGTTTCACGAAGACTCGAATGGTCAAAATGGCGTGCCACGGACCTGCGGAATCCAACGGTGTGCTTCGTTAAGCCCGGGAGCCAGCCGTTTCGGAGAAGATGATGTTACTTCACCCCATATATATATGCGGCTTATGTGTCTGTTTGTCGCCGATAGTTTATTGGTTGCTTGCGTAACTGTACTAGCCAATGGGATGAAGTTGCCACGACATTCAATTAGTCCATATAGACTGATACCATACATGCAGTTATCATTGTAATTTATCATGGTATTTAAGAACATTTAAATATTTTTAATTCATACATTTGTTGCTTATTATGCATTTAACTATATTTACATATGAATTACTTAGAAACTTGCAAACGTTGAGAAATTAAAGGAGAAGAAACTAACTAACGAGTTGTGCGTAGTACATCTCATCAGGTAGGTTTACCCAAATTCCTATGCTAAATATCCTTTCGCGTAAAGAGTTTAAAATTTAGCCCGATTTTATTCCGACATTGTATTTTAAACTGAATTTTCAGATGAACACAAATTGAGCGGGTCTGGGAGAACGTGAACATTTGTTTGCATTAGCAATCATCTGTTTTTGAAATGGTTTACAACTGAACGCAAATTGGCAAAGCAAAAATAGCTTAAATTTTCTAGACGCAAATTGCAATTTAAGACGCAAATTAAAAAAAAAGCAAAAGACCGTCCTCGCCGCCTGCCCTGGGTAATTCAGTTTGAACTAGCAGCAATTAATCTTTGCACAAATCATTTTAATTACTATTTATAATATCTAGAACAGCGGTCATTTCGTATGACCGCCGGGCTTTCTAATCATAGTATAACTAGTTAAAGTTTTTGCGCTAGTTTCGCTAAAGAAATTAGAAACCGAAATATGAAAGAAAGAAAGAAAGAAATGTGGCAAAACGAAACACAAGTATATTTCACTAAAATTTTAGAATTGAATAAGAGTATCAAATTTTAGCAAAAATATAATAACCAGTTAACTAGAACAACATATCTCTTATCATGCTTTGCTTAAATATATCCTTAGAATATTAATACTCCAAATCCTATAATACTCATATTGCTTCCACATCAAAGAATTTCAAAATGGGCATAATAATAAGTTCTCCTGCTAGCCTTTTACAGTTATCTTCACTTTCGCCTGAAGTTCAAAATATCATGAAGTTTTATATTATGACAAGGCGAAAGATCCTTTGGAATGCAGACGGAAATTACAAAGCCCAAATGTTAATAAAAATGCTAAATATAGCTGTCATATGCAAGTTTCGTTGGATTCATTTGGATGCGAATCTATTTTAGGCTTTCACATTTCCCGAAATACGAATAAACATAATTCTAATTCGATACTTCTATATTCACAGAAAATAGATTTTACTAAATTAATTATTTTATTTATTACTTACTCCGCCATTCGGCACTACTCGGAAAGGGATGAATGCCTCATGGAAGAAGTTTTAGGGAAAACTGTCCCGCATCCACGTTACACATGGGAAAAACCACCAAAATGGTCCTGCAGCCAACCAATTCCCAGGGACTCAAACCTTGGACCCGAGCAACCAGTATTAGCATTTTAAAATATAGTAATCAGTGTAAAAATAATATCTTTTTAATCCTTCATTTCAAACTTAAGAATTTAAACTGTATGTAGAGAAAAAAATTGTCCACCAGCATCTGAGCAGTAAATTCACTGAACACTGACATTTCAGTTCCGGGTTCGAATCCCGAAAAAGGAACTGGCTGGATGGAGAATTTTCATAGTTTTCCCGATGTGTAACATGTGTACGAGCCAGTTTTCTATAGAAAGACCATGACGAAAGGGTACCTGCCTTTAGGCAGGTAGCATTCGAGTGTTTTGCTATAATTAAATAAGCCAAATCACACAAAACGTAAGAAGCTGGTCTTTATTTAAAGGAAAGGCTGCCCATCAAGGACGAGCGGTAAATTTGCTGAATACTGGTAGTTTGATTTCTGACAAACGGGCTGTTTGCGTGGGCGTTTCTGTGGTTTACCATAAATGTAATGTACATAGAAACCAATGAAGGGATTAAACCTTTCACGAAGGTATTTCTCCCGATTGGCAGATAGCCCTAGTGGCTATGTTCAAGTAAACCAAATTTAAAGCGAAAATGCATTTGTTAAATAGAAAATCTGAGTTTACAAAATTGAATTAAACTTAGTTCTGAAGTAGCTTCAATCCACTGAGCTTGAATCATAATTTTAATCTTTTAGGAGAAGATCTAGTCTTCGTAACTTGATCGGCAATTTTAAACATGTTTCTCTAGAACATCCATAACTGAATACCTTTTGGTAAAGAAAATACTTCAATATTAAGTCTCGAAGCTGTCTCGAACAGTTAAAGCGAAGCTTCACACTTAAAAGAGATTTTTGTTTTTACCGATGGCAGATTGTGAACAATTACAAATGTAACCCAGTCTATTAATCTATACAAGGCCGGATGTGTGGTGGTCTCTTTATTATGGAGGCACCTAATAGGTGGGCCATTATCGCCTTTCCTATGAAGGGATGGACAGTTACAACCATACCTTCTCCGGGATTCGAACTCAGGCCATTCGGGTGTGTGTGTGTGTGTGTATTTAATTACGGCAAAGCACACTAGGGCTATCTGCCTAAGGGGAGGGATGCCTTTTCGTGGAGGACTTTCTAAGGGAAACTGGCTCGTATACACGTTACACATGGGGAAAACCACGAAAACACCCATGCAGCCAGCCCGTTCGCGGGATTCGAACCTCGGACCGAACTACCAGTGTTCAGCGACTTTACCGCTCGGCCGCTGGTGGGCCCAGGCCATTCGGTATCGCAGTCAACTTCCCTGACCCATATACCGACTGGGCAGCACACTTAAAAGAGGTTAAATCTTTAATTTGCGTTATCAGAAGCCTTTGGAATTATCTAGTGGGCATTCTTGAGCAAGCTAAAAATATTACTATTGGATACATTTATTATTACAGGCTTATTACAGGCTCTTATTTTTAGTGGAAACAAACAGTAGTTTTGAGAATTTAGAGCAACCACGAAAGTTTGCAGGATTATATTCTTCACAACAGGTGCATGTTGACTTTCCCTCCTGTTTGAGTGAGCGCGTACCTTGGAAAGTTTCAAATATGTAGTAAAGATCATAGCCAAACTTTGGCACTTATAACAGATTGTGAAATTTTATCTTCAGCATGAATGCACTAATTCTAACATTGAATAACCTGAACATTGTAAACAGAATTACTTTATCCGCTGTCAGTAATTAATGAAAGTAAACAGGAATTTTAACTTCTTTCGGTCTAGTCTTTTTCTGGAGCTATTCATTTGTCAAGACTAGGTGGATGGTATGGAAATTGTCGAAGACGTTTAGTTCTAAGATTTCGGCAAACATTCAGAGGCACATCGCGTTGTTTCACGATGGATTGAATCAATGGTGTAGATGTTGGTAATGCCAATAGATTCCATGATGTCGGCCAGCATTCCGTCGTGATCTGCATACTGGAAAAAAAATTTTAATATTAATATTAAACCTTTTATAGACATAGAAACAGTTTTCAGACGATTAAGAATTGAAAACTCCTTTCATAATAAAGACATTGTCATATTCATGTTAAAATTAATTTCTTTCAATTTTAACAGATATCTTCCTCGACTATAGTAACACTTAGATATAGTAATAATGTTCCTGTCCTGTTCTACAATACTGTATATCGAAATCGCGTTATACAAATATTAATCGCTTTTTATAGATACCGCGTTGTGAGAGGTTTACTAAATACTATACAAATATTAATCGCTTTTTATAGATACCGAGTTGTGAGAGGTCTACTAAATACTATACAAATATTAATCGCTTTTTATAGATACCGTCTTGTGAGAGGTTTACTAAATACTATACAAATATTAATCGCTTTTTATAGATAACGCGTTGTGAGAGGTTTATTAAATACTATACAAATATTAATCGCTTTTTATAGATACCGCGTTGTGAGAGGTTTACTAAATACTATACAAATATTAATCGCTTTTTATAGATACCGTCTTGTGAGAGGTTTACTAAATACTATACAAATATTAATGGCTTTTTATAGATACCGCGTTGTGAGAGGTTTATTAAATACTATACAAATATTAATCGCTTTTTATAGATACCGTCTTGTGAGAGGTTTACTAAATACTATACAAATATTAATCGCTTTTTATAGATACCGCGTTGTGAGAGGTTTATTAAATACTATACAAATATTAATCGCTTTTTATAGATACCGTCTTGTGAGAGGTTTACTAAATACTATACAAATATTAATCGCTTTTTATAGATACCACGTTGTGAGAGGTTTATTAAATACTATACAAATATTAATCGCTTTTTATAGATACCACGTTGTGAGAGATTTACTAAATGCTATAGAAATATTAATCGCTTTTTATAGATACCGCGTTGTGAGAGGTTTACTAAATACTATACAAATATTAATCGCTTTTTATAGATACCGTCTTGTGAGAGGTTTACTAAATACTATACAAATATTAATCGCTTTTTATAGATACCACGTTGTGAGAGATTTACTAAATGCTATAGAAATATTAATAGCTTTTTATAGATACCGCGTTGTGAGAGGTTTACTAAATACTATACAAATATTAATCGCTTTTTATAGATACCGTTTGTGAGAGGTTTACTAAATACTATACAAATATTAATGGCTTTTTATAGATACCGCGTTGTGAGAGGTTTATTAAATACTATACAAATATTAATCGCTTTTTATAGATACCGCGTTGTGAGAGATTTACTAAATGCTATACAAATATAAATCGCTTTCTATAGATACCGCGTTGTGAGATGTTTACTAAATACTATACAAATATTAATCGCTTTTTATAGATACCGGGTTGTGAGAGGTTTACTTAATACTATACAAATATTAATCGCTTTTTATAGATATCGCGTTGTGAGAAGTTTACTAAATACTGTGTAGGAATTAAATGAAATCTTTCTTCGGTAACTCGAGGATTATATCAACTGATTTTAAATCTCAAAGTTTTCAGTTTGGCCTATAGATGCTGTAGTAGTTAACAAGGTTGACTGAAAAGTCAATCCCGAAGGAGCTGCTGACCTCAAGTGGAAGTTTAAAGGTTAATTTTCTCTTCTGTTACCTTGGGAGTGAAATATTGTTTGCTCTTTGAATGCACTTTGGGCTGTATTTCCTGAAATGACAGTCTGGTTCTGGCAGTCAAAACTCAGGCAAATGCTAAATCAACAAGTGCCTTGAGGTGTATCAGAAAAAATAAAAATTTATTGAAGTTATGAGTTGAAAAATAACTTAAAAATTTCTTTCGGAGTTTCTAGTTTATTTAGAAACTGGTAAAAATATGTCAATCAAACTATAATCAGAAAAATTTCAGTTCAATTTTAACCTCTTGTAAGGTATTTAAGATTTTAAAAAAAAATCATTTATTTTGTAATTATTTTTAGTTTTTACTAAGTTCAGTACTTTTAATTTACTATAGTACAAAGCTTTAAAATCAGACCTTTTACATTCTAAGACAGGAGTTAATTGACATTTCACCTTTATTTTTGAAAGGTCGCTTAAATAATTGAGAGCTTTTGTGGAAATCCTAATTGAGTTTCCTTAAATTGTTCCTTTTAGTTATTTTAACTGCTCTTTTATGAAAGAATTTTATTCCTCAGTCTTTACACGTTCGTGAGCTTTACGCCTCGGGGTTATTCCTCCCGCTGAAACGAATAATTTAATAAAGTGTCATATTGAGAAGGATGAAAAAATATGGTAGACTCGTTTGTAACTTTGAGAGCAATATCTGAACCAAGAAAATTGTACATATAAAAAATTAATCCAGGAAAATATTTCCTTGAAAGTTGAAGAAAATTTACATTAATAAAATTTAACGGAAGGCCTTTATAGTTATGTTGTTGTTGTTTTATGGAAGAATGGTTGCCACAGCCTCAAGGACACTGGACTATTACTTCCATCCCAGTTTTGAGGGACAGCAACCCGGAGTGGTCTGCAAAAATATTACAGAAATATTTGGCAAGAAATTGTTTTATTTTTGATATATTATATAATAAAATTTGGGTACTAATCTGCTTTGAGGGCCGTAAAAAAATTGCAGCGAAAATGTATGCGCAAAAGCGCCAAATCTAGCAAACGCGCCCATTTAACAGCGCGCCAAATCTAGCGTACGCCTTGATTTCAGATTGCGTAAGTTTATATACACTGGTGTGCAAAAATTAAGGACGAGACGGTTTTTTCAATATAACTTTGTGCAAAAGCTTTCCAAATCAACACATTTAATACCGTAAGATCCCCAATGCGTAAGGACATGAGTAATGTAAGCAACACTTACTAAAAGAGAAATCAGAGGGATAAAAAGAAGCTTTATTGAAAAAGTAGCATGGAGCGCAATGCGACTGAAGGCCGAAACATCCCTGTGATGGGTGTCCAGCAAGAAACATCCGGTCTTTAATAGGGGATATGATCTCCCCTGACTGCTAGGCAGGTTTCACAGCGTCTGCCCATGCTGAGAATGAGGGTGTCAATGAGTTGTTGAGGCATTGCTGCCCATTCGTCTTGCAGCGCCAATCGAAGCTCCGGAATCGTTACTGGTGGTAAGGTACGAGCTGCCAAGCGTCTGCCTAGAAAATCCCATACATGCTCGATGGGATTGAGATCCGGAGATCGTGCCGGCCAATCCATACGTTCAATATCCTCACTCTCTAAGAGCTGTTCGGCAGCTACTGTGCGATGACATGGTGCATTGTCGTCCATGAAAAGGAACTGCGGACCCATAGCGCCTCTAAAAAGACGCACATATGGAAGAAGAATCTCGTTACAATAACGGGTCCCGTTGACTGAACCTGCGTCGAAGATGTGAAGGTCTGTACGACTACCAAGCATGATGCCTCCCCAAACGAGAAACACCGCCACCTCCATACCTGTCCCTTTCAATGATGTTCGAGGGATGATTGCGGCTTCCCCGCTCTCTCCAGATGAGTATGCGATGAGAATCGCTACTCAGACTGAATCTGCTCTCATCTGTAAAGAGTACTCGTCCCCATTCATTGTCTCTCCAATTCCGGTGTTCCCGGCACCACAGAGAACGCCTTCTCCGATGGGCAGGCGTTAGAGGTACACACCGTACAGGGCGTCGTGCAAACAGACCACCACCGTGCAGTCTTCTGGCCACGGTAAAACGCGATATCGGTCGTCCAGTCGCCTGTGTCGTGTGTCTAGCGATTTCTCCCGCTGTCTGCCGCCTGTTTCTTCTGGCCTGTAAGGCAATATACCGGTCATCTGCGGGTGTGGTTCCTCGTGGACGACCACTACTAAACCCCCGGATAGCTGTTCCTGTAGTTTGAAATTGTCTCCAAAGTCGTGAAACGATGCTGTGAGCAATTCCGAACTCTGCAGCCACACTTGTCACACTGCGGCCTTCCTCCAACTTCCCAATGATTCGACCTCGGGTAAAAGCATCCAGATGTCGTCTAACAGATTGATTATTCGCCATTTCTCGCTGAGGCAGCAACTCGGTGTGATTTTAACTGCTATACGGCGTGCAATCTCTTTGCCAGAAATACTGATCTTACACCGACAACATGCTTTATACTACTCAGACACTCCCCCATTACGTCTACCTGCATATCTGCGCATGTGCTACCGTACATCACCTTACTTAATCTCCTGATTGGTCTTTCTGTCCGCTCTGCCTCTTCGTTCAGCTGATATGCTAATTTTTCGACTTCGTCCTTAATTTTTGCACACCAGTGTAGTTCTATATTTCTTAAGACGCCATTGAAATATAATTTTTAATTTTTCCTTTAAATCCTTTTTATATCCTATGGATTTAACAGTTTGGGAATTGCCCATGACAAAAAGTCGGCAATAGAATTTCGGGTAAAGTGCAGAATCACCCACTGCTTGATGCGTTTTTAAAAATTGCACGTACTCGGTATCCATGTGCACATCGACCTATTTTCACTTAAAAAAAAATCCTAGAATTGCACAAAAATGGCACTGCACACACCCTTGACTTTATCTATGTACACATCGACCTATTTTCACTAAGTAAAAGAAAATTTACAAAAATCCACAATTTTTTTTTTACCCTTGTAAAAAGCGGCAAACAAATAAGTGAGCCATTCTGCACTTTACCGAGAATATTTTCAAAGAAAATGCGTCATTCATTATAGAAAATTACGTTTGAACAACCAACGAGATGAAATTATGCTTTAGCGATAAGTCGGTAGCGAAATAGCGATGCAGGCATCCATTCAGTTATGTTTAGCAATTTTTATATAAATTATAATAATGATCTGAAATAGTTATTAACTGTTATGCTTCCATTCAGTGATGTTTAGCCTTTTTCATATAAATTATAATAATAAAAAAATAATTATATGAAATTAACCTTTCATCTAAATTAAAACATCAATCTTAGACAGTTATTTACTATTATACTTCCTTTCTTGCCGCAAT